TGAAAGCCAGCTTTCTCCTGGAGACCAGGTGACAAGCTGGTGAACTTGAGGCTGGTAGGGCCTGGGAGCTGGGGACAAATCCCAGGGCTGGCCCCAGGCAGACCTCTTGCCCCACTGCCTGCACAAAGCTGGGACTTGAAGGAACTCCGTCCCCGTATAAGAAAAAGCCAGAACAAGACCTGTCTACCTCACATACACTCATGTGTGTGCATTCCACATGAACACACATGGCCACACACACATGCACACACCCAGGACAGTCGCCTGTGATGGGCCTCTAGAACTGGACCTCAGGGAGCAGCCCCTGCTGGAGATTGAGATTTGAGAGTTCTCAGTGTTTATTTACATGGTACGTAAAGCCCTGAGACAGGATGAGGTTCCGAGGGGTTAACTAAGGAGACAGGAGGCCAGGGACTGTGTCCAGGGGAGAGGCGACTTCGGCAGACACAAAAGGAGGGGCAGGTGGGAGCAAACCCAGGGGAACAGGATATACTGGAATCCAGGGGAGGGGAGGGTTTCCAGCAAGAGGTGGTGAACAGCCATGTCCAGTGCTATGGATGATGGAAATTTGGCCGCTGGATTTAGCAGTGGGTGAGATTTGGATGACCTGGGAAGGGCACTTTTGGTGAGATCATGAAAGGCAGATTCTAGGTAAAGCCATGTTCAGAGATTCCAGACCAAGGAGGCCTTACCTAGGGCTTGGGATCTGCATTTTAACAGGTTCCTTGGGGTGATTCTGAAGCAACACAGAACATTCATCCAGAACACAATACTGTTCCTCGGCAGGTGTGTCTGGGTTTTGTGCCTTAAGAGAGTGACTTATGATGTGGTGCTCTGAAGCCTTTATATGATGCCAGCCTCTTAGTCACCTGGGATTCAGGAGGACTCTGCCAGTGCTGCCGTCAAAGCCAGGCTCTCATCCACCTGCTCATCTATTCACACCATCAGCAGTGGAGCGGAGCTGGCTTGATGGGACCCTGAGCCGGAGTTACGGTGCTGTCCTTGTTCTTTTCTACATCTTCATAAACCTGTTTAATAACGTATTCTGTTATTTTTCTGGGAGTTACTGTCCTTCATGTGAATTGATGATTTCTAGAATGACCTCTCTCCTTTTTTGGAAATAATGTGAACCCTTGCGTATCTTTTATTTCCTACGTCTTTATCACTAATATTCTGCAACTTTTAATTTGCACTTTTCATAAATATTATCCCTTTAATGACATGAAGAGCAGATGATTCAGAACAGAGGAAATGACCTAAGAACGTGACTTTGGCCCAGAGAGAGGTGTGCAGAGCCGCAGAGGCCGGCCTCCCTCGTCTTCCTCCCTGTCTCTCCCACTTCCCAGCCGCTCCCAGCGGCTGCTGAAATACCTGCCCAGGACTTCCTGCAGCCACTGGAATTTTGAGTGCAGTTCCGCAGGAATTTTAACAATTCCTTGTCACGTTTTATCACACTCAAATGTCATTTAAACAGTTTATACCTCTAGTTTTTCTTTCTCACGTTACAAAATGTTTGGAATCGTTGCTCACGGAGCTGGCACCTGATCGTGGTCCCAGCTGCTCCTCCCGGAGCTCTCAAGTTAGCTTTAAAAATACTGTTTACAGGGCTGTGCTGGAAACCACCTGATCGTCCCATGGATGCCGCAGATTCGGGAACAGACTTGATCTTCCTAAGGGATTGCATGCAAATCCACATCGAGTTCTAGATAAAATTACCTGCCTCATAGAAGAGAAAAGGCACAGATTTCAAAATGAAATGTGAATAACATTTTCATGCTAGCTGCCCCTTAGGGCGGTTGCCGCGCAGGGATCTGGAAAGCAGGACTGTCCTGAGACATGGGCAGCAGCCCCGGCATCCGGCAATCAGGCTTCATCTGGCTGTTTCCTGTTCACACAGACCCCAGAGTCCGTGCTGACTCTGGGGAACACCAGATCTTCTTTCGTTTGTTTTGTGTTCATTTTGGGGAAAGTGAAGAACAAAATTAAGCACCCTCAGGCAAGTTCAAGCTAAAATCCCACTATGAAGGCAGAATTCTGAAGTCTAAAAGGTGACACTCTTGGGATTATTGTTCCATTGATACTTCAGATTCTTTGCTATTAAAAACCTTACTGCTTTTAAATGAAAAATTAACCCTATTGCTGTATTATCAGGGAAGAAAACTGAAGTTTTTCATGTCATTCTAGGAGATGAACTTATGTATGCCCCTTGGGTACATTTGCCCTAAACACTTTGACAGCAAGAATCTGCACAGAACTTGAAATGTTATGAGACAGCTGTGCGGAAGGCTTTGACTGGAAACGTCAAAGAAATGACTCAGGAAGGTGAACTTCTGCAGTGGAGGCTGCGGTGTGGACAGGGAGGCAGGCGGCAGCATGGGATGGCAATTCGGATGTGCTGAGGAAGGTGTGAAGCCGGCCTAAAGCCCTGGGAGCCGGGGAGCGCCCATGGGAACCCCGAGGTGCTGGCGTGCATGGCCAGGTGGCATGGTGACCTGGACACTGTCACTCTCACTGCAGAGCCCAGTCCTACAAAGGCATGTCCCACAAAGGCAGTGAAGGGGACCGGCCCGTAGGCTGCATGAGCTCATTCACCACAGCTGTGGGCCTCAGACCCTCCACAAATTGCTGCTGAAGAAAAGGAAGGAACTGGAAATCTTTAAGAATCGTACATAATGGCTGGGAAACGTGCCCCAGGAGAGCGTGGTGGCTGGAGCAGGAAGCCTCCCTGGCCAGCTCGGGCCTCCCCCGCCCCACACCTCTGGGCAGTGTTGGATTTTACTTTCTGTTCAGCAGTGTAGCTGTTGCCATGCTCACGTTACCACTGTGAAGTCACAGAAGGATGTGCTTTGGTGGTGATCCCTTTTTCATAGCGTGGGCGTCGCATGAACACAGCTGCATGATGGGAGCTATTTTGGGAGGGAGGCTGGGGTGTGGATGACTCATGCTCATGCTAGTCCTATAGGCAGAGGACGTTAATGGACCTGCTGTGAGGAAAGTGTTTTATTAACTGAAGAGGGGCATTTTGTTGGTCTTTAAATGACACATCGTCAGCAATTTCTTTTTTCTTTTGGTAAGTCAATGATGGGAAAAGATAGCGTATATGTTTCTATGGTGAATTTTTTCAGACCTGGGTTCCTGGCTTTGTTTTCTGTGCAGGACGTCACCTCCAGCAGCCACGTGGAAGGCAGTGGTTCTCACAGGCAGTGACACACGTGGAGCCCTGGGGGCCTCGTTTTTCTCTGTCCCTCTGTAAACCAGGAGATTTCACCACGAAAGCTGCACAGTCCCTGGTGACTAGCGTGGTCCTGCAATTCCAGAAAGACTGCGCTGTGAAGCCAGGAAGGGCTTAAAATGTGATGTCTGCCCACAAATTAGCATCTAAATACAATGCCCATTGGCTGGGGTCTGCCTCTAGCGTGTTACTTCCTCTTTCAAGAAGTAATTACAGAGCAACAAAATTGTAATTCGGTGTCTTCCAGCTGCACTCATATGCACCTCAGGATGGATTAAAAAGAGTCAACTTTGGCTGTACTCATTGTTTTCCCAAACAAAAACACTGTTTTTACCAAAATAGCAAATAACCCTTAAAGATATGGAGATGGAAGCGTTTCCTTTAACTGTGAGAATGGAAACGCCAAAAATAACTGCATAGGCCTCTAATCCATGAGAGTTTCCACAGCTTGGACACCTTACATACGTGTAATGTGCCTATGTTTGTGACATGGAGGTAAAATGACAAGATTTATAAGTAACTGTTTTGAGAAACTGAATTTTTCAAACACTGTAACGTAAATTATTGCAATTGTGATTTCATGTGAAACTATTCACTCTTAGACTAAAACAAGGGCCTTAGCTGTTTTAATCTAAGAGTGAATACTTTCATATGAAAGTGACAGAGGTGGGTTTCCCATCAAGGACTGACTTTAAAGCTAAGTGCCTCCACCCCAATGTATTTAGCTTTAAAGTCAGTCCCTGTTGGGAAACCCACCTCTGTCACTTTCCAGCTAGTAATTATATAACCTGAGTCTCAGGAGAAAATCGCCACAGTTTCTAAATGAGAAGAAGAAACGGTGAATGAAAGGCCCTGGTTCCCACAGCACACCACGCATACAATTCCCGGTAGCTGTTTTTGGATGAGTGTTTTAGCCAGCCCTTTCTGAAGTTTTTCAGCCCCTCACCCCTGTGAAAACTGTAGAAAGGGGCGTATGAATGTACAGATAACGGAAGAGGAATCTCAGAGAAATACGGAGATAATTCAAGGAACAGCTGGGCTCTAAAGTCTCATGCGGGGAAAAACACCTACTTTCCAGGTTTTCCATTTCCAGGCCTGGCGCTTGGGCAGATGGTCTACCCCTTTACAGGGGAAGTCATATGACTTTGGGGACAGGAAGCTCTGTGGGGAAAATTTGTAGTGTTTTCTGTCAGTGAGTTCACTTATAGACTCTTTTTCCCACAGGGAAACCTTGCTTTCTGGGCTGGTAGAAAATCTTATCTGACTGCTTCTTCTGAAATATAATCTATAGGACGGCAGTGAAGTGTTCTTTGCGTTAGCTTTGACAAAATTCTAGGAATGGCATGAATCAGAAGGAGAAGGAGAACAAGCCGTCCGCAGCTCTCAGACCACTTCTCCGTGCAGGAATCGGTCAGTGCCCCTTTGGGGTCATTTTGTTCCGTAGCTGCTATATTCATCGTTCCAGAACTTCTGCCCAGACTGAAAGAGCAGAATGGATTTTATTGAGAGTGCCCTTAGATTTTTCTGAGGTCCCAGTAAGACCAAATGACAAAAGTCAATGGAGAAAACAAACCGTGAAGGCCCAGGTGGGTACACACAATAACGGCACACGTCACCAGGGCGATTCCATAAAACTAAACGATGTCTTAACTTTTAAACTCCAGCGCTAAAATCCATAGCAGCCCCGGCTCGTGGTAACGTCAGGGAAGGAGGAAGCGGCTCCGAGAGACTCCTCGCTGTGTTTCTTACCCATGCTGCTCTCTTGCAGGAAGAAGGAGTCGTGAAGGAGATTGACATCAGCCATCATGTGAAGGAGGGCTTCGAGAAGGCAGACCCTTCCCAGTTTGAGCTGCTGAAGGTTTTAGGACAAGGATCCTATGGAAAGGTAAGTTCAACCCTGGCTGGCTCTGAGTCTCATTCCTGAACACAAAGGACACCTGGACAGAGCCCCACTGGATGAAAATGGCAAGTGATCCTCACCTGCAGGGCCGCAGTGTCGAACCTGGACAGGTCAGAGCCGTGGCCTCACTTTGCACAGGGCAGGGCTGTGCAGAGTGACAGCAGCAGTGCCGTTGGGGCAGTCACGTGCACGCCTCCCTTGGCTCTTGGTTTGTCACCAAGGTGAGGAGAGTTACTGACCCTGCAGTGTATCTTCGAAAGTGCATTCTAACAGCTGTTTTCCCCAAAGAAAGAAAAAATAAGAGAACAAGAAAAAGAAACCCTCTGAATTGGGCGCAGGAGCCAGGAAGGCTGGGGTCTGTCTGCAGCAGGCTCCCCTCCTCACCCTGCGTGGTCGCCTCCGAAGCCTCGGCTTCCCCACCCGCTAAATGAAATGATAAAACCTACTTTATACAGTTGTTCCGTGGAGTAAACCAGGCTCGAGTCCCACCCAGCAGTTGCCTGAGATGTATTTGTGGGGTGGAATTGTTCATTTCCTTTTTTTTTCCACCTTCGAATTGCAGCAATAAAAGCTAATTTCTTTCAGGAAATGAGAAATAGTTGGCTCTTCATTTAATGCCTCGTCCACGTACAACAAGATGTCAATAACGCTTTTCAGTTACCATGACATGTGACTGATTCCGGCACAATGCTAATTTCTCTGCCTCCTTGGGTTAGCTGTTAGAAGTATATAGGCTCTGACAACTTGATTTCTAGAACATAAGGGCCTGAAATAAACCATGAAGCCAGTCGTTCCTTGCATGTGAGCACAACAGCCCTGGCTCTTTAAAGCAACTATTTTTGTGTGGCGTGTAGACATTTACCAAATCTTTTCATTCTTCACATGACTTTGTGCCAAAATGCATGTGGCTCCTGTTAATTTAAGTGTAGAATGAATAGGACGTTTGTGTTCTGGGTAATCCTACAGACGGCATGAACTGGAACGTTTGCAAAATTTCTCTTTTGTCATGCTTGCAATGTAGAATATCTTTTTCCTTTCTCTTTCTCTTTTGTATGTGGTAATAAGGAACATGTGTTTATATGATATGTACACAAAATACGTTAGATTAAACCATAGGAAATTACCGGCATGTTGGACCTACAAAAATGGCTATTTAATAGAGTTCATATGGTGTTTATGAAATAGGGGGAATGAGGATTTCAATTTCTCACAATGTTAATAGCCATTACCAAAAAATACAAAATCACAGAAGGCAGAGCCTGTGAAATGTGGTAGTAGAATGCCTTGCTATTAATTAGAAATGTAGAGAAAAAGAGAGAGGGGAGTAATTTTCTCCGTGATTTGAGAACAAAGACAAGCGTTCTTTCCTTTTCCCACCTTTCACGGTGTTGCCGGTGTTTCTTGAGAACAGAGTCGACCTGTGGAAGCGCAGCATCCGCCGAATCGTCTTTATCCCGCAGGAAGGAGCACTGGAGTGCGTCCCACGGGGGCGGCCCAGGACGTGTCTGGGGGGCTTTGCTTGACAGGCTGTTACAGAGCGAATCTTACCAGTGTCCTCCTCAGAGAACGGGGGTATTAAAGACGATAGGAGAAAGGCTTTTCCAGCTCCCTCGTGCAGATTTCAAATTTTGAATTTTAATTTTGCTTTAAAAAATCATGTTTTGGAAAACAAGTAAAATCATGGTGTTTGGCAGAACCCTGCTGGAATGGGAATGTTCCTAACACCCTGTCCTTTCCCTTTCCAGCCTTTTCACTACTTCTTATTTTATCTTTACTCGTGTCTTTATTATGTGAGGAATTAAAAAGTAACGTTTCAAGAACAGTAGTAAATAGGGAAAAGAGAAGGATGAGGCGGTGGCAGCGCCCATGGGTGTCTGACCTCCAGGGATTACGGAATGGGCCAACTCCAGTAATGCCTCTCCAGAGCTGGTTGGGGGCAGGGTGGCAGCTCAGGCTGGGGCTGGTGTGGGAAGGAAGACAGGTCTGCTCCATGGATTGATGTGAGCGGGACTCTGGAAAGAAGGGTTATTTGCAAAAGCATTGCTCAGACGTTCCCAGGGAAGGTTGGAGCTAACATCAGTCACTAGAGAGTCACAGATACAAGCTGTGTTTGTCCACATAGGTTTGTTTGTGGTGAACTTTTTTAATTAAAGCAAAACCGATGACAGAGGGGGAGAAGCTACCTGTTCTAACGCCCCACGTTCCTGTATTCCTCCTTTCTACATGCAAATAACACAAACTTATGCAAGAGTGTCTTCACTTTTGCACCTACCAGGGACAGAAGAGCAACACTGAATGTTCTCATCCGTAGAAGGTGCCTGTTCCTCACGTTCCCACCTCCTGCCTCCGCTCCAAAGAGCAAAGACCTGGGGTGAATCTGGACGCAGTGTCACAGGGAAGGCCTTGCCTGGGAGGAGGCTCATGGTCACCTGTCACTGAGCCACTCCATTCTTTCTCTCTTATTTAATGACGATAATGGAGATGCAGAGATGGATAGCATGCAGTTACTTCCCCTTAGAGTTTGGCACCAGTGCCAACTTTTGACTGCAGGCTGTGCGCAGAGCCGCCGAGTGACTGTCCCATTGCCTTGGCTGTGTGAGCTCCTTACTTAGGCTCTCCGAAGCCACTGCTCTTTGCCTGGTCACTGGTAATAAGCTAGTTCCTGTGGCAGAAGCCGCACTTGCCACCAGTGGGAGGCATCTCTTTGCTCTGAGCTCAGTCCTGCGAAGGGAAGCTGTGATGCTTTCATTGCTGTCTAGAGAGCAGGGCCATAGGTGGTACTTGGGATCACAGAAAGGCACAGAAAACAGCCTTGTCCTCAAAAAGAAAAGCAATTTAAAACTTGAATCAGGAAAGCAATGAAAGATGAGGAAGCTTGTTCAGCGTTGAAATGAAGAATGCAAACCCGGTGCTCCCTGCGAGCGTAGAGGAGGGAGGTGCAGGAACTACCCTGGGGCCCGCAAAGCAGCTTTGTCCCTGGTCCCACCTCACCTGCTCCCGGAGCTCCCCTATTAGCATAAGTGCCAGGGGTAGGGTTGAAAACCTCCTTTTCTTTCAAATATTCTGGAGAATGAACTGCAGGTTATGATTCCTGCATTCTAAAAAGGATCCAAACCAAAGTTGTTGTTTTTTTTAAATCCTTGCTTTCATGACTTCAATGGTGGCATGATAAGAACGGGTTTTTACATGTCTTTCTTTTGGGGGCAGCTGTTACCCAAAAGCCCCCAGAAGTGCACACAGGCATTTGGCTCCTGCTTGAAGGATTTTGCAGCCTGGCGGCAGCCTTCTAGTTCCAAAAAAAGCTGAGAATTCTGCTGAGAGAATCTGCAGATCATGGTGATCCATGACATCGTGAGGCAGTTCAGAGTGACGTCTCACCTGTCACCAGGTCGCAGTTCCCACAGTGTCTTTGCAATGCAACACGCTAAGCTGCTGGAGAGGCAGTTCTTTTTTTTTTTTTTTTTTCCTTTGAGAAAGAGTTTCACTCTTTTTCGCCCAGGCTGAAGTGTAGTGGTGCGATCTCAGCTCACTAGAACCTCCGCCTCCTGGATTTAAGCGATTCTCTTGCCTCAGCCTCCCGAGTAGCTGGGATTACAGGTGCCTGCCACCACAACCAGATAGTTTTTAGTAGAGATAGGGTTTCACCATATTGGCTAGGCTGGTCTCGAACTCCTGACCTCAGGTAATCCACCTGCTTCTTCCTCCCAAAGCGCTGGGATTACAGATGTGAGCCACCACACCCAGCCTGGAGAGGCAGTTCTAAAAATGAAATGAGGGGCACACAAGATGCCCACTGGGTTCAATATTAAAGACCCAGAGCCTGCATTGGCTCAAGGTGACAGTGTTGTTTTGGAACTTATTCCACTGCATTAAAATTGACTCTTAAACAACAACAGTGACAGCAGAGAGGGAGAGGGAGCTGCACGGTGCCCAGGAGTAGAGATCCCTGTTGCGGACCAACAAGCCGGCCGCTCATTACCAAAATCATTTTTGCATCTTGGCTGTATTTTGTTGTTCATCTCAAGGTCCCATTCCCTGCGCTGGGTACTCTGCTCGCCACTCGGGCAGCACCTGCTGCAGGAATCCACAGTACCTGGCACCATGGGGGAGCGTGGCAAACATTGGTAGGATGGAGTTTTTCTCCGTTCTTTTCAAAAACAAAAATAGAATTCTCTTTTCTAAACAGATAAGCATGAGCCTTAGCCATGATGATCACTCATCTCATCTTGAAGGCCTGACATACAAGAGAGAAAAGTATTCATGTGTCAAGACTTATGCGAAATTTGACATCATTTAAACCAAATCTTAACTGGCAGCTGGCCCAGGCAGGACCGGTCTTCAGTTCAGACTTGAGTGGAATGGGGTTTCCTCCTCTTTGAGTTTACACAGTCATACTTCTTATGGGTTATGGGTTGAGTGCAGAGGTCTAGAAAGTACGTGCCCATTCAGAATATTCCAAAGGCTGGATGGTCCAAACACAAATCCTTCATGTACCTTGCTTCCTTTTTCTTCAGGGTTCTCCCATTTTGCAAGAGGAAGTTTGTTGTTGTTTATGAACTCCTGGGCTCATGCAATCCTCCCCGTTTAGCTTCCCGAATAGCTGGGCCTATAGGCACGCATCACCACACTCATCTAACTTTTATTTTTACTAGACACAGGGTTTTGCTATGTTGCCCAGGCTGGTTGTAAATTCCTGGCCTCAAGAGATCCTCCTCCCTCAGCCTCCCAGTGTGCTGGGATTACAGGTGTCAGCCAGTGCACCTGGCCCTTTGTTTTCTGATTATAAGAATGCCTCATCTTGGGAGCTAACAGCTGCACCATAATGGAATGGGTAGATTCATTTGTCAGGCAACCAGAGTCCACCATGAGCTGAAGCGACTGCCCAGGGCTTCCATCCTCTACGCGGTGACTCAGTGATCGGTTGCCTGGATTGTTCCCCACCAGATGTCCTCAGTTGCCATGGCAGGGAGTGGCAGCTGGAACGTTTTGCACCTGCTCTTCATTGCCTGGGCCAGGAGGGACTAACTGGCACACCCCTGCCCTCGCTGGTGTCAGTGCCCCACTTACCTGCAGGATGCAGGGAAAATGCAGCATCCCTTCCACAAACACAACTGTCCTTTATTCCATCCCCCCTCCTTGTTTTGGGACCCAGATTCCTCCCTACCAGTGTGGTCTCTTCGGCACTGGGACTCTCATGCAGCGTTGCCCAGTTCCTGGACTCCTGGGCGGCACCTGCCTCCTCCCTGCACTGTCCTGGCTGGTCCTGATCTGCACACACTGCTAAGAAAGTCAGCCTGGGGACAGTAGGCACAGGACGGGCTGGAGAAATGAAAGGAGTTGCATCAGTCGGAAGCTAAAACTGTGCATGGCATGCGGCTTTCCTGTGATTCAAAGCAGAAGATCTCAGGAGTTAAGCACTGATGTTTTTCTCTCTGCAAAAATCTTGTCCTCTGAACACTGCCTTCACATCTCTACCTGCCTGTCAGGAAGCTCGCCCACTGCACCGAGGGAGCACCCTGAGCAGAGTCCTTCCATGTGCAGTAACTTCCAGGGCTAGGGTGGGTCTGCTAGTAACAGCCATGGGACCCTGCGCCCCGAGAAGGGCTGTGCCTGTGTCTCCCGCCGCAGTCGACGTGAGGGTGAAACCCCAGCCATCGCCCCAGGGCTGCGCCACAAGCTTGTTTATCCAGCTTTGGGGACACACACACATACGTACACGTACATATACACACACACACGTACATACATGTATGCACGCACACACAGACACTCCATACATCTCCCAAAGATAGATGTTAACTGTCAGCGATGGTATAGTCTGCAGCCTGGGAGAAGAGGAAACCTCTAATTGCTTGTGACGTCCTGGGACCTAGTTGGGTCCTAGAGGCAGCATTTAATTGCACAGGCAATGCTGCACCGTCCTGCGCCCTGGGTAGAGGTGCTGGGGCGTTTTCCCATGGGCATCGTCTAGAAGATTCTCTGCCTGGGAGGGGCTGTGATTCAATAGTAACAGTGATCAGGACAAATGGCAGGGCAGCACTGGGTCAGGAATCTCTTCAGGGCACGTGGTGAGAACGTGACACTGATACTGCAACTCCGGGAATCCACCTTCCTGTGCTGGGACCTCGTGTCTTCCCAGTTCCTCTTTATTTGTGTCTCTAGAATAGACACTGGTTGATCTTCTTCCGGTAAAGGCAGGTGCCAGTTTGCCTGTCCCAGTAGCCCCTGCTCCGAGAGCCCCTGCGCTCAGTAAGTGTCTAGAGATTGCCCCCGGGGCTGCAGGCAAGTCGAGAGTGTGGAGGTCCTGGCCATGTCCCTCTGCCTGTGGCGGGTGAGGCTGCTGCTCCACATGGTTGCTCACTTGGGCCTCCTGGAGTCTCCATGGCACTAGACCACCTCAGAAGCATCTAGAATGGCTGGTCTTTCTGGCTTTTTGAGGCTTAGAGAAGGAGACGTTTTGGGAAGGAGCCACCCCACCTTGGCCCTCCAGCCATACTGTATGGGCCACACCAGTGTGCCTGTGACATTTCTATCATGCAGGCAGATATTTGCATCTATTGGAAACACTTTTAGGAAAATCAAGTACTGTTTTCTTCATTTGCATGGAATTTTTTTTCTTTTTTCTTTTTTCTTTTTTTTTTTTTTTTTTTTTTTTTTTTTTTTTTTTTTTTTTTTTTTTTGAGACAGAGTCTTACTCTGTCGCCAGGCACCAGGCTGGGGTGTAATGGCGCGATCTTGGCTCACTGCAACCTCCACCTCCTGGATTCAAGCAATTCTCCTGCCTCAGCCTCCCAAGTAGTTGGGACTACAGGTGCATGCCACGACACCCAGCTAATTTTTGTATTTTTAGTAGAGAGACGGGATTTCACCATGTTGGCCAGCATGGTCTCGATCTCTTGACCTCGTGATCCGCCTGCCTTGGCCTCCCAAAGTGCTGGGATTACAGGCTTGAGCCACTGCACCCGGCAGAATTTTTTTTATAAAGGAACTCCAGTTTTGTTTTGTTTACTAAGTTTGTTCAAAAATCACGAATGTAAATTTAAACTCAAGCTCTTAATGACCTTTTCTTGCTGTTTTTCACAGTGATGCACATCAGAAAGTATTTCAGAAAGTATTGTCAAATATCTATATTTAAGAGCCAGTTAGAAATGAACTCTTAAGCTACTCACAGCTGAAATTTGGGTGAAGACAGTTCAAATAAGAGCAAGAAGCTTTTCTTGAAAATGGGATAGAGCTCGTTTTGTGTGATTGGTAAACCTGTCAGCACAGCCTCCCGGTAAGGATCTACAGAGGGATACTTAAACGAAAAGCTCTCCCTTAAAACTTCTGTTTGTTTTTCTAAACAGCTGGTCTTCAAAACAAGGGGGTGGTATTACTCCTGATATAAAATGAAAGTTAAGGATATCACAAAGGGCACGTCTTCATACAGACACGTAGTGATGTTCACCGCAAGGCCAGAGTGACTTAGAGCGTTTCCCAGCAGCCTCGATGCTGGGGAAAATTGTAAACGTTCCTACAGTGCACGTTCTTTGTGTATCCCCTTGTCAGATCCAATAAGGAGGGCGAGTTTGAGTTCCTGCGGTTTCTGACATTCTGTTTTCTCTCACACAGGTGTTCCTGGTGAGGAAGGTGAAGGGGTCCGATGCCGGGCAGCTCTATGCCATGAAGGTCCTTAAGAAAGCCACCCTAAAAGGTAAGGGCTTCAGGAGGGCCGGCCGCTTCTGACACAGGTAACTGGAATTTCTACTTCATTATTTGAGGAAATACTCATTCCATTTAATGTTCATGGTTTCTGAAGATGTCTCTGAACGGGCATGTTACTCTCTGATTGATAGTAAACAGTATAAACATGTCCATGACTATTTAGAATATCACAATTGTCAGAGAAGAGCTGTATTGCGTAACTCCCACATGTGTGCTGCCGTGAGTGGCACTGGGAGAACAGCAGCAGGATGGGAGCAGGCCGTGGACCGGCGGTGGCACAGCAAAGCAGCCTCGATTCCGGCAGGCTGGCGTCCTTGCTGGGCTTTAAATAAAACGTGACTCATGCTTACGTCGTATTATTCCCCTTTTTTGACCCAGTGGCTGGGCGTTAGAAATACAGCTCAACTGTCATTCTAAGTTTTAAGGGAGATCCTTTTATTTATTTTAAATATCCCTCTGTAAATCCCTACCAAGAGACTGCGCTGAACATTATTACAAATCACACAAAGTGGGCTCTATCCGATTTTCAAGAAAAGCTACTTTATCTTATTTGAACTGTCTTCACCCAAATTTTAGCTGTGAGTAGCTTAAGAGTTCATTTCTAACTGGATGTTAAATATATTTACAAATGCTTGACATTTCCGCCCAGTTCCTCTGCACGTCCATCCTGCATGTGAGGTATAGGCACCCAGCGCAGCGTTAGTCAGGATGTGATCCAAAATCTCTGTTCCAAGCTCACGGTCATTGAGCCAGTCATTAGCTGGGCACCTGCTGTATCTGTTCTGATCACCTCCTATCCACTCCGTTGGTGAGAGAGGGAACTTCCCCCTGCCCTAAATAGCACAAGATGATTGAACACACAGTGCCTGGCCCTGGACAGGTGACATGATAGCAGCTTGTTAGTTACATAAGCTTGCCCCCTGGGGAGGAGGGCACCCCAGGCCACACAGGGCACCACAGGGGCTGCACTTAGGCGGCGAGACCGTGAGAGGCTTCCTAGGAACAGGAGATGAAGTGGCCCCTGGTTCCTGCAGAAGGTATGTCTGGCTTGTTGGAATGATTCTGTGGGCTGGCAGGGAACTGAAGCCTTTCAGGGTGGGTGCTGGATGGAGCAGCTAATCCAGCTTCTGGGGAAACCAGCGGGACAGGGAGCCTTCCTCTCTGGGCGGGGGCACACTTGGCAGAGCAGGGAGCTCATGTCGAGGCCTTGGGTTCCCCTGGGGCTCTGAGATGTCAAGGTAGCACTTGAATGTTTAGGTCTTGCAACAGTGTCCTCAGCAACTGCAGGCAGGTGAGCAGTTCAGATATGTCATTCTCTGCCTTCAAGTCACCTGCCTTCTGGCCGAGGAAGTAAGAGATATATTGGGAAGGACCTGTCACCTACAACAAGGACAGAAAATGCATAGACCGAATGTGTACAGACTTTAAAGCACTTAGGTATTCAAAGGAGGAAGAGCATTCCTCCACAGAAGGTAGTCCAGGCGGGAGTTAGAAAGTTCATGGGACTCAAGGCTTTACCGGGGGGTGAAATTTTCTATAGGGGAAAGAAATCTGGTTGACATTTGTCAGTACAACTAATGGTAAGAAAATGCAGACGTGGACCACTCTGGCTACACTTGATTAGAATTATCTGTGTGTGTTTGGGGGTGGGGAGGGGCTGTGATAAACACAGATCCAGGCCCCACTCCTGACTTACTGAATCATCATTTCTTAGAAACAAGGCCTAGAATATGACTTTTCAAACAAGATGTCCCAGTAATTCTTATGTACGCAAAAGTCTTCGGTGGGGCATTCTAGCTTATTGTAGGCACATGAATTTTCAGTTCAGTGTTATCAAAGTAACATAATTTAAACCATACTTTTTAGAGTGAACATGTTTTTATTTTAGGTCTAATAATATTTTTAAAGCTGTTTGAACATTATCAACTATTTCAAGATCCTCAAAACATATTCAAGAATGGTTCTGTGTTGAGAAAATGTACAGAAAACAGAGCAGGTTTTGACCTTGTAACCCTAACTTTTAATAAAATAATTTCTCCAGTTACAATTATCTCTTCAAAACGGGAAGTTAAACTAGACATCGGCTAGCTTAGGATCACCTGAATGCCGACACAGTGAACTGCTCTTGCAGTTTCTCCAAAGGCCAGCCACAGATTACCACGTGACCCGACTGGTCCACTCATAGGCGGTTAACCAAGAGAAATGAACACACCTGTCTACACAGAAACTACCACAGGAATGTCCATAGCAGCAGCAGCCAATTCACAGTAGCCACAAAAGGGAAAGAGCTCTAATGTCCACCATCTGGGAAATGGGAAAATGAAGTGTCTGTCTCCACGGCGGAATAGTTGGCAATAGAAAGAGAGTCCTGGCGCTCACTCCAGCATGGCTGAAGCCTGGGAAGAACATGCTCCATGACAGCAAGAAGAACTTGCTCCAGGCACCAAGCCCGCGGGTTAAGATTCCATTCATATGAAAGTCCAGGACAGGCGGGCCCTAGAGGCAGACGGTAGATGGTAGATGGGTGGTTTCCTAGGCTGGGGAGTGATGGGGGGCGAGTGAGTGCTGACAGGTCCGGAGCTGCTTTGGGGGTGATTAAAATCCTTTAAAACCCACTGTGGGGATGGTCGCACAACTCTGTGAGTATCCTAAAAACCATTGAATTGCGCACTTAAATGGGCAAATCGTATGGAATGTGAATTATGTCTCCAAAAAGCTGTTATTGTTCAGATGAAGAGCTGCTAGAGAACACGGTCATTTCCTAAAACCCGCCCTTGCATCCTCAAGGCATTGGGATTTGCTCTCAAACACAGATGAGGCGTCCTCCTGTGGTTTAGGACAAAGGCAGGTAGAAGGAGGAAGCTCTCTAGCCTGTCCTCGGCCACACACTGTCCTACTGTCCATCAGCTGGTTCCATGTTCACCTCTCCAGGGCGCCAGGAGTGACCGGAAATAGCTCCTTCTCTCCTTCAAGCATAATGGTTCCTTCTTTCCCTTCAAAGTTGGTCTCACCCTCCCCCACCCCTGAAGGAAAGGGAGGAAAGCTGGAACCCGTGCCTGTTCACCCTGCTCTGGAGGGATGCAGTGGACTGGAGGGGCGGGAAGCCACTCTCTGTTGAAGCCATCGCTAAGCCTGGACTCCCTCAGGGCTGACTTTGACCTCTTAGCTCAAGAGCAGAACTCTCCATCTCAATGACTTCACTCTCCTTGATGCAGGAGTCGCCGGCTGTTCATAATCCAATTCGTGGTGTCCTTGAGGAACGACTCCTCATCCCCTGTTACATGGAACAGGCTGGATATAAAAGTCTGTGTACAGAATGATCACGGGATTGTTAAATGGAAGAGGGACTGGAGCAGTAGTGAGGTGTGTGGGTTTGTGCGTGCACACGAGATAGACACTGTGCCAGGAGCAAGGCCAAAGTGAAGACCTGAGTTACAGGATTAGGCTGGCTGCTGTCTTCTTCCCGTACTCTGTTACTGCAAGTTTTCAACAAAAATAAAATATATCTGACTCTTTGTAACATAAAGTTATTTTTAAAACATTTTGGAGCAATATGCTTGTGTAAGTAAAATCATTTTTATACTGTGAAAAGGAGCCATGTGGCTGGCTGGGTGCATTGGTCACACCTGTAACCCCAGAACTTTGCGGGGAGGAAGTGGGAAGATTGTTTGAGCCCAGGAGTTCAAGACCTAGGCAACACATTAAGACCCCAACTCTACAAAACATTTTAAAAATCAAAAAATTAACTGGGTATAGTGGCACACACCTGTAGTCCCAGCTGCTTGGAGGCTGAGGTGGGAGGATTGCTTAAGCCCAAGGGTTCAGGCTTCAGTGAGCTGTGATTGTGCCACTGCACTCTAGCCTGGGTGACAGAGCAAGACCCTATCTCAAAAACAAGAGCCACATAAACATAGAAGATCAGAAAAGTTTTTTGTTTCCGTGTGCTCCTTAAAAGTCAGGTTTAAAACGTATCACTGTTTTACGTCTTATACACTTTTAGCTTTCCATAATGATCCATCACTAAAACGTAGATGTTTTTTCCAAAGGTTTTATTGGAATTTATTTTCTGAAGAGAAAATAGAAAAGCTTTGCAAATAATACTTTGCATACCTCAAAGTAGGTTAGGTCCCTGGAGCTAAGCGTGACCCAGCAGAGTTATGTGGAGAGGAGACTTGGTCCTAACTAGCACTAACTGGTCCTAACTAGCACTTAGCCTGGTAAGGACACCTCCTGGCCCAAAACTTTAGTTTCTTGTTTCTTTCTCGTCTGTGAAAGAAGAGAGTTGACTGGAAGGGACACCCACGTCTGTCTCAGCCCTAACACCTCTGCATTTTATTAGCCCAAGTTGTTTAAGTATCTCCTAACCCATTCCCTACCCTCATAACATCCCTGGTTTGTGAGATCATTAATAATCCTGAAGAATGTCCAGGAGGGAAAAGGAGCACATGGTAACAGCCCCAGGGATGTGCTCCATGTGCTGACAGCAAAGCTCAGAAGCCCAGGCAGCCGCCCAGGGAAGATGCCAGGCACGTGAATAGTAAAATGTGTTGAAAAAGAAAAATGCAGGAGGGTGGGAGACTTGTAGAGTCATTTTGAACTGCAGCCGTTTCTCCAAACCGTGGCTGATTGTCCTGTGCAGGAAAGTGAGGGTTGTAAGTGGGATCCTTCCAGCCCACCTGGAGGATAATGGCTTCTGACAGCTCCATTTGATCTTCAAACACGTTTGGAGTGCTGGGCACCCGCCTCCTTCCTCTAGAGAGGTGTCGGATCATTTCTGAGGGAGGTCGTCTGCTCAGCCGCTGAGGGGCCGCTCTGCAGGGGTGTGCTGGCAGCCTTGCTGTCCCCACCTCTGACCCAGCAGTGCTGCCTGTTGCCTGGGTACCTAAGGATGCCTTAAATACCCTCCACTTCTTTAACTTGACCAAGTTTCCATATTCATGACCAACCTGGAGTTCCTACAGGGAACAGTTCTATGTAATGCATTCCACA